TTATAACACCTTGAAAAAGAAATTGAAGTGAATCTCAGAAAATGGAAAGACATCCCTTGTTCATTATGGGAAGAATAAATATTGTGGAAAAGGCTATTCTCCCAAAACTATTATACAGATTCAAAGCCATCCCAATGAAAATACCATCAACATACCTCATAGATATAGAGAAACCACTCCTAAAGTTAGTCTATAACCAGAAGAGACCTAGAATCGCAAAGACAATTCTAAGCAGAAAAGGCAAGGCACGAGGCATCACAATGCCTGACTTGAAGTTATACTACAAAGCTATGGTAATAAAATCAACATGGTAGTGGAATAAAAACAGATCTAAAGATTAATGGAATAGATTAGAAGATACAATCACAACTACAAACACACTCAACCACCTTATCTTTGATAAAGGGGCCAAACATGTACACAGGAAGAAAGAAGGTCTCTTTAACAAATGATGCTGGAGAAACTGGCTCTCCACATGCTGAAAAATAAAACTAGACCCATGCCTATCACCATGTACTAAATTAAAATCTAAATAGATCAAACATATGAATATTAAAGCAGAAACACCAAATCGGTTGCAAGACAAATTGGGTAAAAATCTTGAATGCATAGGGGTAGGTAGAGAATTCATGAACAGGATGCATGAGAAATACTTCCCAGAATCAGTTAACTGGGATTACCTCTTATTAAAATGTTTCTGCATGTCAAAAGAAATGTTCACTTTGTACGTTTGGATACTGTGACTTGAGCAACTATCTCTAAGATGATAATGTGTAAGCTATTAACTGGTGATTTCTTACTGTTTTTTTTTTTTTTTTTTTTTTTTTTTTTTTTTTTTTTTTTGTAGTTCTGTATTACTTGTACCCTTACACGGCTTTGTTTTATTTTGTTTTTTCTCTTTTTCCTTTTAAATAAAATTAAAAAAAAAAAAAAAGAAATCTCCAGCATAGTGAATAGAAAACCCACAAACTGAGGAAAAAATCCTTGTGAAGTCTCCCTCAGTCAAAGGACTTCTGTCTAAAACATATAAAGAATTAAAAAAGAATCAAATCCCCCAAATTCCAAGACCCAATCCAAAAAAGGGCGTCTGAGTTCTCAGATGAAGAAATACAAATGATAAGTATGTGAAAAATGTTCATCACCATTAGTCATTAGAGAAATGCAAATTAAAACAACACTGAGATTCCATCTCACTCCAGAAAGAATGGCCAGGATCAAGAAAATTACAAACAACAAATGCTGCAGATGCATGGGGAAAACGAACTCTCCTGCACTATTTGTGGGAGTGTATACAGGTGCAACCATTGTGGAGCTCAGTCTGGAGATTTCTCAAAAAGCTGGGATTGGAAGTTCCATTTGACCCAGCTATTCCACTTCTAGGCATATTCCCACATGAACTGAAAACATCATACCACAGTGATATATGTGCACACATGTTTATAGCAGTACAATTTGTAATAGCCAGATCTTGGAAACAACCTAAGTGTGCATCAACTGAGGAATGGATAAAAATATTGTATTTTTATACAATGGAGTACTACTCAACTATAAAGAATGATAACATTGAGATATTTATAAATAAATGGAAGCAACTTGAGACCATAATCATAAGAAAAATAAATGAAAGTCACATGTATAAATACCATATCATCTCCCTAGTAAATGAAATGGTAAGAGTACATAAGGTTTTATGGTAATCATGATTCCCCATTATATTACTTTGAAGCCTTATAATGTTTCCATTCATTAGTTGGAATGGTTTTATCCTGGGTTGTTTGATTTTATTGTCTGTGATGGTATGAACAGCTATTCTGAAGAAAGCAAGACATTAAAATAGCCAGTGCTGCTTTACAATCATCTTGTTTTGAAGCCCTACCATAACTTTTTTTCTTTTGTTTCCATTGGTTCTATCATGTAGTATCTTATTGATTTTGTCATGTGTGGCAATATAAACAAATTTTTTTATGGACAATGGGATAATATAGTAACCATTGTTCATTTTCTATTATTTGGTTCTGAATGCCCTGTAATATTCATTTTCTTGAATGGTTTTATACTATTTTGTTATGTTTGATACTATTGTGTATGAAATTATGCTCAACTATTTCAAGGAAAGAGACATTATGGTAGCTACTGTTATATAGGATTATCTTGTGGTGAAATATTGTGTTGCTTAAATTGTTCTGTTCTGATCTGCTTTTTATGTCCTCTTTTATGTTAATGTCTTTAAAATAAAAAATTTATAAAACAAACATTATACACTTAATAAAAATGTATTATGTACTGGGGAGGGTGGGGTGGGGTGGAGAAGAATGGAACTTTGGGCTCAGGCATGAGGCTTATATTGTGTTCCATAACAAGTGGAAATGCAAGGGAGATAGAAACTCCAGGCTAATCCAAAGGACAAAGGTACATAAGTTTTATGGCTCATGCACTAGGCAGATACCCACTCTCTTGATGTCATTGTTTGCAGAGGTGGAGATTTAGCTGTGTGCAGTCTTTTCCATCATGCCTCATGTGATTTATGCCTTAATTACCATGTTAAGTCTCCACCCTGAGGTTTGAGTTTTACTATATTAATAAAGTAAAATAACTATAGGTTATGTTAATGACTGTTCTACACATGCGTTAGTCTATTTCCACTTGGAATTTGCCCTTTTAAAGTTTCCAATTGGGTTTTGAAGCAGGAACGATCACTCTGCTGCCTAGATTTGGTTTCAACGAACCTGTTTGGCTCAGCCTTCCCCTCTTAGCTAACTCTTCCTGAGTTAGCTTTACATCCCATCTCCAGGTATACTTCCGTAATTTCACAGCCTTGAAGACCTGCCTACTTTTTAACTACCAGTTTTCCAGGATGCCTATTAACTCTATAAAACTGAGGGCTAGTGTAGCTGTGGCAGTATTGGTCAAATCTCCTGTGCTTACTAAGTGCTTATTCTATACCTACTGAATACTGAGATGTTGCACTCTCTTGCTATAATAGCTGTTTATATTTTTTCTTCCAATTCTATCAGATTTTGCTTTATATATTTTGAAACTCTGTCATTAAGTGTATCTTTAGAACTTCAATATCTTGCACATACTCCTTTATCACTTCAAGGCTGTTACTGGTGATATCCTTTGCTCTGAAATTTACTTTTTGGTATTACTATAAATATTCTTTATTTTGATTGATTTTTGCAAAGCATATCCTTTCTTCTGTACTTTTACCATTAACCAATTTTTAAAATATATATACAAAGTATAACTCTGGGTTGCAGAATAAATTTAGATTTTGCTTTTTAATTAGAGCAATTAGACTATTCATATTTAATGTGCTCCTTTTTATTGTTAGGTTTAAGCACATTTTCCTGCTTGTTTTACTTTTCTATTTGTTTCATTTCATGTTTTACATATTCTCTAGGATTCATTTTACTAGTTTTATAGTTCTAACATATTTAATTGACTTACTAATAACTTTGTTACGTTGTAATTTAATAGTATGCATCTTTAATTTTCCTTGCAATTTCAGGTGATAGTATACCACTTCCTATATAGTATACGAATCTCAAAATCTACACTTAAATGTACTTTTCCAAATTTACTGTCATGGTTTATGTCTGTGTCCCCCAGGCCTCATGAGTTTGCATTGTGCATTTGTGCATTTGCATTGTCTAGTGCTTCGATTGATGGTGTTAGTGCTACCCCCACCTAGGTGTGGAGCCAGGATGTGATGTAATGGCAGGAAGAAGGTGTGTCTTGCTCTTTTGCTGGTTCCTGCTTGCTGTTTGCAGCTGCCATGAACTGTGGCCCAGCCATGCCCGCCTGCCTTGGAGCCAACTGAGTGTGGACTGAATCCTCCAAAAACTGTAAGAAATAAACCTTTCCTTTCCCAACTTTGGGCTTTAGGTACTTTGTCTCAGCGACGAGTAAAAAATAACTAAGACACTTACTAACGTTTTCTTTATACGTATTTGAGCCCCAAGGACACTATTTTTCTCCTGCTTTAAGATGTTTTCTGAAACAACACATAGCTTTTTCTTTTTTCTAGCATATATCTACCTGAGATGATTAAAAAGGTAAAGTATAAGAAATTACAATTTTTAAAACACATGAATACTAGCTGGGGGTATATAGCTCAGAGACATAGAGCATGTCTGGCAAGCACAAGATCCTGAGTTTGATTCCTAGTAGAATAAAAACAAAAGTAAAACAAACAAACAACAAAAAAAAAATCAAGAAAAAAACCATAAATACTTAAAATCTATTTTACTTAAAACTGTTTTCTTGGTGCTGGGGATTGAAATAGTTAATACTTAAATGCTATCTTTTGAAGAAAACGTTTATCTCAATAAATAATATATGTATATATGCATATAATTCCTCCAAAATGTATGTAGCTATGGAAATAAAAATACTTATGTGTATAGTAGTCCATTTAGGACATCCTTGTTATAACCTACTGGCTACAATGTTCAGTCATGGGCTGAACATGTCATATTCTATATGTAGTCATGTATAAAATAAAATAAAATACATAAAAAGCAAAAAGGAAAGAAGAAAATGTCTTTTTCCCTTTTGGATCTGTACACAAATAGTGTGTAATTAGACTATGAAATCTCTAAAAAATTGTAATTTGGCCATTTTTAGGAAAGAATGTTGTGAGAAAAACAATTTTATACTGTTAAAATTTAGCAAGTGTTTCCAATAAATGTTTTGTGAAGATTGTGTCATCTTCCTAAAATGCAGAAAAGATGATGAAAGTATATTAAAAACAAGTATAATAAAGCATTCTTCCATTTTAGCAGATTAGTTGTAGCTCTATGTTAGCCCAAATAACTAAATTTTTGTTCAAACAGGTAGAGTATGTGTAGTGAAAGGTTCTGTAGAAGAATCTGAATATTCCATATTTTCTAAGGAGTAGAGCAGGAATATTGTTTCAGCTTCACTACTAATATTTTAAAAAACACACAAAATGTTTCTACAGTGTTTTTGCACTGTGTTTTATTTCAAACCACAGGTCTACTTGTAAGATTCTCATAGATCATGCAGTAAGTGTTCTACAAATAAAGCCAGAGTCTATAATAGCATGATCACACTGAAAGACAGAATTCCTGGATTCCTTTATCATGTAAAAAGCTCAATTTTTTGCAAATTCATGGCTGGAATTATTAGGGTATGCCTGAGATGTATCTTGCGCCAATGAATATTATCATGCTACTCACTATAAAAAAGCCCAAAGGCATACTAGAGAAGGTAGTAAATTCACCATTTTCAGCAGTCTGAGGTGAAACCCAACCCATCGTCTTCTTCACAGCTTTTTTCCATGTAGAATAACGGCTTTCACTTTCTGTGGCCTGGATCTGTGGTTCAATTTGCTCCACTGTGACTGCTGACAAATTCTTGGATTTTAAACTCCAAACATCTACTCCTTCTGCAGCCCCTGCAGCCATAGCGGCTCCCAGTGCTATTATATTAGACATAGAAGACTTTATTACTGGAATATGCAGAATATCTGCTTGTAGTTGCATAAGAATTTTGTTTTTAGTCATGTTCCCATCTACCTGTAAATGATGGAGTGGAATTCCACAATCATGGTTCATGGCATCCAAAATCTCTCGAGTTTGGAAACAAATAGCTTCTAATGCAGCATAAGCAATATGACACTTATTGGTAAACTGAGTGAGACCACAGATTATTCCTCTTGCACTGGGCTCCCAATAAGGTGCATACAACCCTGAAAAGGCTGGGACAAAGTAGCAGCCAAAAGAAGTACCTGCTTCTTTAGCAAGGGTTTCAATTTCTTCTGAGGTCTTTATAATACCAAGGTTGTCTTTCAGCCATCGAACAGCAGCACCAGCTATAGCAACAGAACCTTCCAATGCATAATACACTGGTTTATCTTTGCCTAGTTTGTAAGCTATTGTGGTCAGAAGACCATGTTCAGAAAATATACACTTTTGACCTGTATTGCATAGTAAGAAACAACCTGTCCCGTATGTGTTTTTGGCTTGTCCTTCCTGGAAGCACATTTGTCCTACTAATGCAGCAGACTGATCTCCCAAACACCCAGATATTGGGATACCTTCCAAAATGCCACCTTTCATAAGGCCGTAGATCTCAGAACAACTCCAGACATTTGGAAGTATGTTCATGGGAATTTCAAAAAACTTACACAGCTCTTTATCCCATTCCAAAGAATGGATGTTGAAAAGCATTGTCCTACTTGCATTTGTTACATCTGTCCCATGGACACCTCCATTGACTCCCCCTGTCATACTCCAGATAAGCCAAGAATCAATTGTACCAAACAGAGCTCGACCTTCTTCCACAGCTTTCTGGATTTGTCTTACATTGTCAAACATCCAACGAAGTTTCACGGCACTGAAGTAGGTGCTAAGCGGAAGGCCAGTCTTGGACTTGACGAAGTTATTATTTCCAGGAATTTTTTTACTAAGAATTTCAACGGTAGACTGGGTTCTAAGGTCAAGCCAAACCACCGCATTGTAAAGTGGCTCTCCAGTTAACTTGTCCCAGATGACGGTGGTTTCCCTCTGGTTGCTGATACCTATAGCTTTTATGTTGGATATATCAATATTCTCTTGGTCGAGTTTCTCACATGTTCTGGCTATACACTCATAGACAGACTGTAGAATTTCCTTTGGGTCCTGTTCTACCCATCCGTCTTTTGGGAACTCTTGGGTTAATTCCACTTGATGCTGACTGAGTAGTTCTGCTGTTTTTGCCTTGAAAACCAGAAAACTAGTGGTGCTGGTGCTCTGTACTACCGTCCCAACTAAGGATCCCACCGCTGCCTTCTTCTCAGCAGCCATGAAGCCAGACTGTCTACTAAGTTTCCTGGGTGATGGTGGTTTAAGGCAGGCAAAGCGCAGGCTCAGAGGCTGCCTTTGTTGACGCAGGCGCTCCAGGCGACCTTTGGCCCTAACCGGAAGCCGGGCTCCACCCCTCCCCCACCGAGGTCTACTCTCTGCCCAGCCCCCAGCTCAGCCATTCGGTGAGCTTTTAAGGTGGGTTATATTGAAACAAATCATACATTGCAGCACCTTTGTTTTTCAGTTTTGGTACGGCTCTGAATTTCTATTATCATTTCCTTTCTGCCTCTGATTTCTTGACCATTTCTCATAGTGCGGAGATACTGGAGATAAATTCTTACAACTTTTAAACATCTGCATTTTATCCTAACACCGAAAGCTATTTTTCTTGATAAAGCATTCTAGTTGACTTTTTTAAAATATCGAGGCCTTTTCTCTTGCTGTTTCCTTCATGAGTTTTGTTATAACTATTTGAACATGCTTATTTTCTTTGCCTTTAGTGTTTTCTCTTTGTAAGTATTTTTGATCAGTTTTATCATGGTATGCTTTTCTACTTGGTGTTACTGAGTTATTTCGGTCTGGAGTTTTTAAAGGTTTTATTAAATTTGGCAAATTTTGAATATTATCCAAATGTGTTTTAGTCTCTCTTCTTCTCTGTAAGGATTTAAACTAAGCATATTGAGTTCTTGTACAAGCTTGCTGATGCTCTTGTCCATCACCTTTTCTATCCGTGCTTGATTTTAAGGAGTTTCTAATTGCTATATCTTCAATTTCACTAGTCTTTTCTTTTCCGGTATCTAATCTGCTAATTCATCTGATGTAATTTTTACTTCACACTTTATAGATTATAATTCCTAAAATTCATTTTGGGTCTTTAAAAATATTTATTTAAATTTTTGGATACATTGACTAAAGTTAGAATAATCTGTTACTTCACTCACTTTCTGCTAATTCTAACATCAGTATCAGTTCCAGTTCAGTTTTGATGGTTTGATTACCTCCTTTTTGTAGTTTGTATTTGTGTTTTCCTGCTTCTTTGCAAGCCTGATAACTTTTTCTTTTTGGTACTGGAGATCGACTTATGACCTCGGGCTTGTCAGGCAGGAGCTTATGCTGATAACTTTTACTTAAATGCCACACACTGTGAATTTTACCTGGCTGTGTGCTAGATATTATTATAAATCTTCTTGAATTTTGTTTTAAGATGTCGATAAGTTGCTTGGAGTCATCTTACTTATTTGGAGTTTTGCTTTATAAATTTCTGAGGTGGAAAAAGATTCATGCTCAGTCTAAGGTCAATTATCCTACTTAGAGTGAAGATATTTTCTGTGTTCTTTAGCTCATAAAAACATGGCTTTCCTGACTGGTGGAAATTGAAATGACACCCACCTAAATTTATCTTTTCCTCAGCTTGAAGTTTTTTGTTTTGTTTTTTTAACATTCATACACCGATCAGTACTGAATTGAACATTTGTGGGAATTCTCTGAAGAGCTCTAAAGTTATGGCCTGTGTAAACCTTTTTTCCTAGCACATATAGTACAGAATTTATCTTCTTTAGTTTTAGTGGGTTCTAAGCATCATCTCTTTCCACTGGACTCCACCTGGATTCCTATTCCCTGAGCTGAGGGCTCTGAATTTCACTCAGTAAGCTGGTAGTAATCACACCATTTGTTTCTTGCCTTTTATAGTTTGATTCTGAGCATTTTATAAACTGTTGTTTTTATTAATTATGTGACCTGTTTTGTGTATTTTTATCCATTTATTGTTTCAGATGAGAAGTGGCAACCCATTGAATGGACACTTAAATGTTTAGGGTAATTGTAAAGTTGATGAGTAGAGCTTTATTTAGTCACTAATTAAAATGTGCTGAATGTTCCCTCAATGAGAGGCAGTTTTTTGCAGTAAACCTTAGATTTGACTTATTTTTTGGTTCCAGGAATCAAACTCACGGCTTAGTCCTTTCTAGGCAGGTGCTGTGCTGCTGAGCTATTTCCTTGACCCTTAGGTTTGACTTCTGAATTGTCTCAAAGATGACTCTTATTGAATTCCTAGTTAAACAGAACAGAGTGGAAAATATCAAAAGTTAACTCTAACATTGCTGTTTCACTGTTTTAACTGGACTATATCTTTTATATAAGCAGACCTGTTAGGTAATATGAAGTCAGAAACAGTGGTATCACGAGAGGTAATTTGTGTTGTAGAAGGTATAGATCACATAAGAAGGTATATATATCTTTGTTCCGTTTTTAAGATTCTATCAGTTTTTCTAAGCAAAAATTTGGAGGCATTTACTACTATGCTGGTTTACCACACACTGTGTCTGAATTTGTATGGAACTTACTCAATTCAAATTGTTTTAAAATTTTTTATTCTCAAGTATTTGGCAGTAGTAAACATGACATGGATGGATTAATTTACAAATTAAAAATATTTAACCTAATGTTTCTATAACCTATCTTTTCTGTCACATGAATATGTACAGACTAATGTTCCCAATTCCATTGGTTTGTAAGTCTAGGAATACTTCATTTTAGCAATTTGTTTTTAATATAATTTTTAATATACTTTATACAATACTGTTAATAAATGATAAAACTAGTAGTCATTGAACAATCAGGTAATAAGTGGCTAAATTTAGTTTAGAAAATTGATTTAGTTTCTTGGTATAACTGCAAAATATTAGTGGATTTAATCAAAGCACACAAGCCCAAAGTAGATAGATAATGTTTTAAACAAATGTGTAAAAAACTAGAGAGCTAAACTATAGCAGTATTTTTCTGTACTTAAAAATGAACCAAACTTTTGATCAGTCTATAGTAGGTCCTGCATACACTAATTTAAGTGTCTTTGAAATATTTTTTGGCATTACATTATTTGTGAAGGCGTTTACCTTTTTAAGAAAATTATTTAATTTGTATTTTATACAAGTGAAAATGTTTTAAAGCTTCACTTACTATTTACAAGCATCATGAAAAATCTTAGAATATTTTATTCAAAAATATTTTAGTATAAGATTGTTAAAAACAAGATTGTTAATCTAATTGACTTTATATATTATTTATTTGCCTTCAAGGCTACTCTTAAAGAGCACAACTACTACTTAAGATAAAACCTTTAAATAATGTCCACATTATTTATTCATTCATTTAGTAATTTGCCAAATATACTCTCAGAGATTACTACAGATGGGCTTTATTACAGGCAGTAATATGATAGTACATAAAACATCCATTTTTTAATTATTACAACCATATATATTTTGTCTTTTTGAGACAGTATTTCACTATACTGTTCAGACTGGCCTTGGACTCACTTTGTAGCTGAGGCTGGCCTTGAACTCACAGTGATCATCTTGCCTCAGCTTCCCAAGTGCTAGAATTATAGGTATGTTCCACCACACTTGGCCTACAACCTTTAAAATAAGAACAGTAACAGCTGAATTTGCTAAATCTTTGATGTATCTCTTATACATATCATGTTTTAAAGAGGTTTTTGGAGGTATTTTTTTTCTTTGTCACTACAAATAAAAAAGGGCCCACTACATTGTATATTCAATAATAGTGGCTTGAGCTGTTTTATTAAATTTTACATCTTCAGCCTGACCCCAAACCAGGAACTCCAGATATATTTGTTGAATGCAGTAATGAATATTACTGCTTTTTTCATTAAGTAATTTTGATAAAGTCAAAAAATTTAATTTTGGTTTTTGGATGGACTGTTGGTTATTAATTTTATAGTGTAATATATTCATGTGGACTGATGAATATATAAAGGAATAGGTAGATGGAAAGATATGACAAAGATATAACAAAGTTATAATAAAGTGTTAATTGTATAATCTGAATGTTAGATACAATAGTTTGGAGATAAATGTTTTTCAAGTTTTCTATAGACTTGCAAATTTTCATAATAAAATCTTGGTATATTAGCAGCTTTCTGTCACTATGAATAACTGAAATAATTAACTTATAATTGAAAAATATTTAGTTTGACTCAGCTTTGGTAATTCCAGTACATGATCAGGTGGATTTATTGCTTAGGGACTTTGATGATTGTACTGGATGGAATGGTGAGGTACACATGACAAGGAAAACTGCTCCCCTTGTGACTAGGAAACAAGAGGAAAAAGAAGCAGCCAAGATTCCATGATGCACAAGGTGCAGAGATCTAAGGACTTCCCACTGTGTTTCACCTTCTAGAAGTTTCTTTGCATCTCAATAGAACCACCTTGAGGACCAGTCTTTGACATATGGATCTTTGGGAGATAGTCCACTTGCAAACTATAGCAGTTGCTAAAATATAATACTGACAAAAAGCCAGTAAAGCCAAGTATAGTGGTGCTGTCCTATAATCCTATCACTTGGAAGGCTAAGAGAGGAGGACCATAAATTCAAGTCCAGCATGGGTTAGTGACAGCCTGTCTTGAAACCAAAAGTAAAAAGGACTAGGATGTAACTCAGTGTAGAGACATTAGATTCAATACCCAGCACTGATCAATCTGCAAACATCCCCACTGCCAGTGTTGATCAATCTGCTAGCATCTTTAGTAGAAATCTATTTCATTTCATACAAGGTCCTTTGGGCAGATAGTAGAAAGGCACGGAATTGTCATTACCAAGTTTACATTGGTTTGAGAAGTTCTATTTATAGTTGTTCATTCCAGAAAAACCATTAATTGTTTGTACTTTAATTATAGCCATTTTTTTTTTTTGCTTTTTATGAACTTTGTAAATTCTAGGAAACTAGCTACATGTTTAGCTCCTTGACTTTCAACCAGAAATTTCATATATCCAATATGTCACTACTTTTTTTTTTTTTTAATGTCAAGAGTGGAAATCAGTGGCAAAGTCTTGATTTCATTATTGTTTTTAAATTTAAGAGTATACAGCCTACTTATAAGGGCATTTACTTTTATAGGTTGTGGTTAGGAAATTTGACTTTTTGTGACTGCGCCGTAACCAATGAATCATCACAGTTGGTAATCTTCAAAACAGTGATGCATTTTTCTACATGCTGTTCCCAAATGTGCTGGACCAGCTGTTGAGAGCCATGCTATCCAATCGTCTGGAAGAGCTCTTCTTAGACCACAGATTACCTAGTATACTATTCCTCTTTG